TTCTCAACAATTTTGTACTATTGAAGAGGAACATCCTTCAATCGACTTTCATTAACGTTAGTATGCACAGTAAACTTTACATTCGCTATTTTATTAACTAATCCTAACCTGTAGTGAAGTCAAAGCATTCAGATCGGCAGAGAAGGATTTAAAAGGATCGGATTCCATGAATGATTTGTATGATATAATGCTCTTTGAATCTGAAATGGTTCATCTTCAGCAAAACACATCCAAAAATTAAATGAAAGAAACACGCACACATTTATGCTATCATGCATATTTAAATGTTCATAGCGTGTCCTACTTTTTACAAAGACAGAAAAAGCAAAATATTTTGTAAGTAAAACGCATCGCTAAACAATTTCAATTCTAAGAGACAAAAAAGCAGCTTTCAAAATGATCATTCAGGCGGCGCAGAAAACGCGATTTTTCTGTTATATAAAATTGTTTTTCTTCGATCAAAAGCAATTCCTATTAATCTGAGACATTTGTTCATCGTTTCCATTGATATGCATTAGAGCTGGTTAAACGTTTGCTGAAATAGTATATCAATTCTGTTCAATGATTCATGTTGTTTTTTGAAATCAGAAATTTTATTAATGGTTGAATCTCTTACAACGTGATGACGATATGTTCTCTCAAGAAACATGCTAGCAACACTGTCAATGAGATTAAAACCTGAGGCTGTCATGTGCATACTCTAGAAATAAAGGAATGTTGAAGCAGAAATAAAAGAAAGATATGACGACTGAATTGTCAAACAACGAATACTATAATGAAAAAAAAAGAGAATTCATAATTTATTTTTCTTTTACTGTCTGCGATTCAAAGAATAAGTAAGTAACTACGTAGAAAATAACTACGTCAGAACGTTTTGTTGTAACATGATAGTGACTGTAAGATTGTATGTGTATGTGCGAGAGGTAAGTAAACAAAAAACCTATTTCTAACAACAAAGGATAAGTACAATCGATGGTAACATGACATAGTTCTTTTTCGTAGTTGTATAGGTGCAGATTCTTCTTTATATGATGAAGAGAAAAGTTCGTTCATATAGATGCTATGTAATACTGATATTTATACATTGCTCTACCGAAGTCAGTAAAATTTTCTATTGAAATTTTATGTTACTAGTTTCCATTGTTAGCATTGTCATGATCTATTTTTAGCTATGCGACAGATTATCACTCCGCGAAACAATTATAAAGGTTATTTCATTCCGCGTCCCGACTACCCGATTTTTTCAAAGATCTTCATCTTTTTCCAAAAGTAATCAACTTCTGAGTCTTCGTACTTACAGTTAAGGAATTGTTAAAAATTAGAAACTGAAAAAATTTGAAAAACTCATGTGTAAAACCTTCAATGTCTGAGACAAGCGAGAAAAGTTTGTGAAAAGTAAGAACTTACACAGACAATTCTGAAAACTGTAACCAGTCTCATAGAGCTTCATTGTGAGCCTAAGAGAAAAATAATCTGAAATATTTTTACGTCATTCGTAAATAGAATAGGAATATGTTTGAATCCATCGCTGATAGAGCTTCAGAGTGTCTAATTTAGTATTATTTATAGGCTATAAAAAGAGAAGAGAAAATGATATGTAAAAAGACCCTTTTCATGCAGATGTTCATATTTTGTTGGGATACGGTGGAGAAGCTATGGTAAAGTTTTCAGCTCTATATCACTATGTTTAAGAGAGATACTTATCAAACAAGGAACAATACTAACTCATTTGGCACTTCAAATTTCTCTGTCTATCCCCGTTCCATATATGTAATTTTTTGTTGTTGAAAAAGCATATTAGGATGTAGGACATGACAGCCCGATTTGTTTTGCTAAATTCTTACTTTTTAAACGAAGAAAAGGTATGATAAATTCAATGCCTCAAAAAAACTCGTCATGCCGTGCATCTCGGCATACTCTTTCAAGCAAAAAGAATTAAATATATAGAATGAATACCTCTAGAAAATTCTGGATTACGCAAGTAAGAACACATAAAGAGAGAAAAAAAGAAAAACGTTTTCTGCTTCTTCTGAAAATGGTATATTTTTCAAGCAGATGATGATAGAAATCATAATTTTTTTTAGCAAAAATGAGATGCCAAACGAAACATAGTATTATTTATGAAAGATCAGATCTCGATCTATCTTCTCATACATTTGTCTTGGTTCTTATTTATTTTGCGCGTTGATCTTAAAGACTGATTGTTTCAGATACGTACATTTAGTGATGATCAGGATCGATATTTGACTAGTAGTAATCCAAAGAAAAAGACATTCTCAGTCGATGGTGATTTGGATTAAATAATGAGACGATTTGTGAAGAACATGCCAAAGACCTAATCTTTGAAATGAGACACTGGCGAATCATTTGCTTTCATCGATTAAACTTTCATTAGTGAACAATATTCGTGATTAACGTGAATTTTTTTCCAGTGCTCTTGGATCCTTTAAAGACTGAAAAATTGCTACATTGTGTTTTGCGTTTTTAACCAAGAAAAACAAATCAAAGTATCATTTAAATATTTAGGCAGCAAGACGTTGAATGTATAATAGAGACATTCTAAAATCTCTTTCGTAGTTATCAACGTGTGAACAACATGCAAGAGTAGTCAACTACTACAAACCCATATCCTTCTGCTCAATAAAAGTTGTAATGAATCAACTATTCATAGATGCTCTTCACTTTTTCATGATCTCAAGAGAAATGAAAAAAGATAATTAAAATATGTTGCGTTCTAGATAGTGCTTATACACAATCATCGGAGTGGTTATACGAAGAAAAAATGGAAAAATAACGATCCAGATTCTTTTCAAGATAATTATATACAACGCCAAATATTATTTCGTAGTCACATATGTGAGATACTGGTCAATGAGCTGCGTATATCATTAGTAGTAATCATATACGCTCGGTTTCAGATGCGTCACAACAATTCTCCTAACGATGCTCTAGACTACATATATAATTTTCTCTATTTCGATTAACAGAAAATTAGTAATACACGACCAGAATCAAATAGGCATTTTCAAATTGAAACAAACTATGTCATCATCAGCAACAGCTCAATTAATTGTTACTATTTCCCAATATATTATGATTGATGTTGGTTTTTTTGTTTTATTCATGGGGATGATTGGTAACACGATAAGTATTGTCGTATTACACAAGCTTCGACTCTTTCGAGGAAATCCATCTGTTTTTTACTTCACTATCGAATCTATCGGTAACTTAGCTCAACTTCTTATTAATTATCCAACACGAATTATGATGGATGGATTTACCATTGATTATACGAATATATCAGTGGTTTGGTGTAAAATTAGAGCATTTCTCGCTCCAGTTCTTACTCTCATATCTATATATACAGTATGTTGTGCATCTTTTGATCAATATCTTTCAACACATCATCAAACCTATTTGAGACAAAAATGTACACTCTCTTTAGCCAAATATCTTACTTTTACCACTATTTTCTTCATCATTCTACATGGTATTCCATTTATTATTCTCTTTGATCTACCATCTTTAATGGTCTGTACAACTTATAACACGATATTCAGTCGATACTATTCATCTGTTTACTATCCCGTTGTACAAGGTGCATTGCCCATGATAATCGCATCTTCATTCAGTTTATTGGCTTTTCTAAATGTTCGCCGAGTTATTCGACAACGAATTCGAATTGTACGTCGTCGACTCGATCGACAACTCACAGCCATGGTTCTTGCTCGTGCCACTTGCCTTGTAGCTCTCATTCTGCCCTATACTTTGTATCGAATATATATACTTAATATAACTGTCAATCAAGATCAACAAGTTTTATTGGCCATTAATAATAACCTTTTTCAATCGGTCACCATTACACTTTTCTATGTTAACTACGCAGTAAGTCATCTTTGATGTATCTCTCAATAATGTTGTTTGCATTTTTTGTTAGGCAAACTTTTATATTTTCATGGGAACATCATCACGTTATCGGCATCAAGTAAAGCATGTCATAGTGAAAAAGTTTTGGTTACCATTCAAACACTGGCTTTGTGTTCAATTAAAATGTGCAAATGAACATCGTGTTGCACCTGAGGGAACTCCATCTTATGAAAGTTCTATCGAATTAGAGTAATCTTGCATTGAGAATGTTGGTGTGGCTGTGCGTTTTATCTTCACTCAAATCATCTACACTCACTTCCTCTAGTCATGAATCTCATTGGCATATAAGATTTATTTTAAATAGAACAGGACTCAAAGTTATTAACCGAATGAAAATAATCTTTTCATCATAACGAACTTTGTTCAGTCCCCTTTGCAAAATATCAAACTTCATACGTGTCTTACTTATTTACTATTATTTACAGAATATTGTCTGTATTTTTTTCTACATGAATATTTGCCTTGTTTAATGCTATTTATCACAATTAACAACATTACAACGGTATTATGAAAGGATGTCGATACGATCTGATATAATTTAAGTAATATTTGCCAGTCTAAAAGTTCGTCTGAAAATTTTCAGGCCAAGAAAATCACTCAGCGAATGAATATAGCACTGGCGTCATACGATAGCGACAAATTATCATTGAATTAAGAAAGATACTTAAGAGTCCTACATAAAAAAAATCCTTACAAAAAATATCGACTACAAGAATATGAATTCAATATTATATAGACTTAAAATACATCTATAATAGATTATGAACTGTGACCATGCTAAAAAAATGAATAATGATTATGAGTTTTGATCGAAAAATTGAGCTCGAATTCATAATGAAAAACTAGAGATCAAATCCGACAGTCTTTCCGACAAAAATGTTTATTGAGCTGCTTCAAATCTTCACTGTATATCGAAATTTGATCGAGTATATAGAAGATTGCTCAATCAAGAGTTCATCATCTAATGAAACTGACAGATAAGATCTCTCTCATGAATATAAGGATGGTCGTATTCAACAAAATACAACTAGTTCACATATACTATAATTCGATAGATTAGAAAGGCTTTAATATTTTGTATAAAATAGAATAGATTCTTTGGACAATCGAAAAAAAGCCTGTAAAGAAATAGAAAATCTTGAAAACTCTTTGAATGTTTTTTCATGTTGAATATCTAATGGTGTGGCTGCGATTGTAGATATATAAGTAGATAAAGAGAAGACCAACACTGATGCATCCTGTAAAACCTACATTGCTAAAATTATTCTTTGAATATCATTCGAATCATTTAAAATTAAGTTACACATACGTATATAGAACAACTTCGAGTAACGAGATTCGACCAATGAAGACTAACTGAGATCTGAATGATGTTTATAGAGTCTTGTCGATCGAATGAAAATTCGGCACGAGTCTATTTCAATTGTCAATCTATGAAATCGATGTTCGTCGTATTTAAATATCTTCAATGTTGAAATGAGTTTTCCTTTCGAATGTCAACATAGAATGTTCTGTCAGTCGATCAGTAAAATCTTTGGACAATGAAAATTCTTTAACGACGATTGCAAAAAACTTCTCTCAATTTGAGTCAAGTGGTCAATTTGAGATAGCATTGAACAGTCAAATGTCAAATAGTGGCGTTTGGTTCACATATCAATCAAATAGATGAAGACCAAAGTGAAATCGATTGCCCCTATGACAGATCAAAGTCAATTGAAACAAATGGTTATAGAGTTGAATCTCGCTAAAGATTTGTTTCGATCTTGAAAACAAACCTCAATTGTGAAAGAGATTGCTCGAGAGATGATAACGAAACTTTGTCGATTGAATCGATTTGTAGCTGATCTCCGTTTTGTTTGGCAATTTAAAATTAGATTGACGATCAATGCGAGACAACAGCCGTATTGGTTTTTCTTTAAGATTTACTTTCGTTTCACGTTGAAGTCGATTGTCTCGAAGAATGAATCGACATTTTAATGAAAACATCATTCGTCATTCTGAATATGTTCAATTGCATCAATAAACACGCCAATAAATTCGTTGATCATGTTTCATTTCGAATTCAACATTTTCTTGTTGTGCCATAGTCATTATAAAATGATTAATGAGCGATCAGACACTCAACATACCGCAAAGATCATCGTGTTGAGACTCTTCTGATCCGAAGTCGTAGATAGATTCAATGGACTATCGAAACATTCATATTATGGATAGATGAAATTCTTCGATTTGTTTTGTCGATGATCTCGTCTATTCTACTCCGCAAAGATCAATCGATGCCATTAGCGTTTGTTTTATTTCGTCGATAAATTTCGATTCTCGATTTTGATGATAATTGTTGTCATAGAATCTATGTTGATCGGCAAAATGATAAGAGCAATAAAGTTCTGCTTCTATCATCGAATTAAAATCAAAAGCGTTCTAAGTGATGTTGAATTTTTGAGCAAAGAATTCCGTCATCAATTTTATTTATGTCTAGCTCGATCTAGTTGGATTTTGCCGATGATGCACAACAAACGAGTTTCACACTTCATACACAATGGAGTTCGATCGAATTTAAGGCTGCAAGTGATATTATGAAAGGATTTGGGTTTTAAATGAAGAAAAAAAATGAGTGTCGATTGTTATTATAGACTGCAATCTTTAAATAGTATAAATAAAATAAAAATTGCCGCTTCTCTCAACTTAAAAACAAATTAGCTACACTACTTATTGTTGTTATGTAGGAATTTTAAACGAAAAATTTCTCTTATACTACGAATAATCGGAGTCACAGTAATGAGAAATGTAACAACTCAAGTTAGAGCATTTCTCATCGTGAGTTTCAATAATGGTTTTAAATGTATTCTCACCATATTTTCTCACCAATGTCTCAGTAGTATCACAGATCGTTAAAACAAATAGGACACTCAAATACTTCCATGGTCAGCATAAACTATCACTAATAATACTATATGTAAAACTATCATAGTGACTGTTTAGATCATTCCTTTTCCTTTGAATAATACGGTATCGAAAGTCTTTTTCTTTTGTGTCTTTTAAAAGTAGAAATATGGATGAGTAACATGCAAGACCAACGAGAAGAATTGAATTACTATATTTTCTTATTGCTTATAATTATAAAAAAAAGGTTCGAACTAAATTGTTTCATTAAGTTTCAATAATTAAGCATTTCTTATTCCATCTTGTTTTCACTTCTCCAGATAGAAACATAATACAAGATGTAAAACTCTGTTACACCATATTGCCAACTTCTAAATTAATCAATATTTTTTCTTGAAAAGGACAATGTTCGAACTACAAAGTTTCTTTCGGGATATATTCTTTCAGAACAAATCTAACGAACAGGGAAAGACAATAATGAAACACCTCTAAAAGAGTTGTGGCAACGTGTTTTCAACTTGAAAAATTTGTATTTCCGAATTATTTTGAATAAGATGAATGGATTAAACTGAAACAAAACTACACCAAAATAGAGCACATCAAAACCTCTATCGATATCAGCTTTGGCAACATTTTTTTAGAACTATTTTTGGCTCTTTAATAGAAAAAAGTTTGAAAAATGAAATTTTTGTAAAATATGGTCTTTTCCGAGAAATGGTAATTTGCAGAAATATCAGTCATCATCTCTAGAAATTGTGCATGAACTGAATTCTTTTTGCGCTTTTTATTCGAAATATTTCAAATCATAGAAATTTAGCAGAGAAAACAATTCAAGGAACATTTTTTTATCTCTGCTAAGTGACCAGATAGGAAGAAGAGGCACTTTATTAAGTGCTTTTTAGAAAAAACTATATATTTTGGTCTAAAAACTGGCAGTAAATTTAATTTTAAATGCAACATTGGAAAAAAGTTCTTTACGCTACAAAAATCATGATAAAACGTGTATTTTCATTTCCCTTCTAATATAAAAAATTAACAGAGAATAAAAAATGCTCTCGCTTGAAAATCAGGTTGCCAAAACTTTTTGAAGATGTTTAGTTTTGTGCCTTTTCTTCTCTTCCTCAAGTTCGCTCGGAAAACATATGTCTCATACAAAAATGTGTAGTTCAGAAATTGCTTTTTATAGCATAAAAAATTTGATTGGCTAAAAGTGAGCAATATGCTATGCTAGAGTTTGACATTTCTCCAAAGACTTTTGCACCGTATATTACTTCATCATGTATCTACATTCGAAAAAAAACTCTTTTATCATATTTTATTTCTATCCAACATACGAAGAAAAGAAAAAGAAAATCTTGTTTCTCTCTCTTCTTCAATTACTTGCTCGTTCTTTCTTTTTCATATGTTCATGGGTGTTCTATTTCATTTAAAGAATAGTTGCTTAGGTTAGCTATCACTTAAATTTTAGCTTATACAAAACACTCACGCATCATTTAGTATAAGTAATGAATATTCTTATTGTGTGTGTAAGAATAGACATCCAGCTCAGATAAATATGTTTTCAGAAGAAAATCTTTCAAAATCAGAGGGTGGCCATTTTATGAAAGGAAGAAAAGAAACACAAACGTCAACATTATTCATCAAGAATTAGAGTAACAGTATTCCAATAATTACTCTTCACTCAGAGCGTTTAATGAAGAAAATTCGCTACGTGTACGCTTATAGGACGTGTTATTTGACATGGAAAATCCTCAATAGATAAACTAAACTGAATAAAATGTCATCACTGAAGAGGCAAGCAAACCGAAATACTTTTGTAAAGATGACATTGTCATTTCTAAAATAGGCTTCAAGCTTGCGAAAGTTCTCACTACTCATAGAATAGTGTTGTTGTTTTCGATTGGATCTCTTTTTTACATATTCATACTATGAATTATTTGAGATAAAGATACATCTAATGATTACCAGTTCGCTCTTCTTTCACCAATCTCTGCATTAATCATAATATTCCAAAAAAAATATTCATTTGGCAATTTAACTCGTCAGTTATATTAAATATGAAACTTGAATTTCTCATTATAGAAAGAATAAGCATAAAATTTTATAATTACAATGCACTCATTACTTCGCTATTATGCGTTTGTTTATTGTAAATTACATTTAAAGATTCAGCACCCCCGTATCTAAGAAGCAAGTAATTAATATTGAGATTTTCTAACATAATAGAATGTTCTAAGTAACACAAAAGTAAAGTGAAAAAAAAAGGGACTAGACAGGTTTCGATTTTTGAGAAAAAGAACAGAGCAAACT